TGGCCCCCTTCGCACCCTTGCCACTAATATTGTAATGGGCAGACAGTAATCAAAGTATTTTATCTGAATAAATGCATTTTGGCTTTTATTACTCATCCTATTTTGAGAAAACAAGCGTGGTGTGACACACACTGGGTTTTATAAGGTTAGATACATCAAATTAAGGAATTAATCCTGGAAATAGAAATTCCAATTTTTCTAAAAGTCTGGTTGAAGTATTCAGAATTTCATAAGTGCAAAACAAGATGTTTTGCACTTATGTTAAAAAAGTGAAAAATTAGACAATAGATTTGATTTTCTTTTGCAGTTCAAAAGATTAATTTTAGTGTAAAAAACTATTTGAGCCTCTTGTTTTTTAATGATCATCTATTAATTCTTAGATCACATGAAATTACCCACAAATATACTCAAATTCACTGTGGTAGTTTTAAAGGCATGATATGTTTCGTATTATACTATGCCATGATATATATTGCAATCCACTTAAATAATAAAAGCATTCTAATTCAGCAGGGTTTAATAATAATTATTTTACTTATTCAGAAACTGCAAGTTTTACAAACTGTAGAAGCAAGATTTTTTCTGTGAACTTTGTAAAATTTATTTTTTCATTTATTAGTAAAACAAGCTCATTATTGTTCACTTTTGTGAAGGACATTAAGAGCCCTTTCCAACACAAACTATTCATATCCTCAGATTACAAATAGGTTTTCAGATTGGGGATTTAGAATTTCCAAAACAGGGATATCCTTTGTACTTAATGGCTCTGGAAAACAAAGAAATATAGACCAACTTGGGAAACCAGGACCATCCATTAAGTTGTATCTCAGCTGTGGTAGGCAAAGTACCGTGCCTTATAATGTGTGTGAGAATCCATGAACAAAAAAGGCTGAAGCAAAAGCTGTCTGCATGCCCTAGGCAACAGTACATAACATAATCAAGAAGAGCCTCCATCCAGAAAAGCAGTGCAAGTTCTTTCATGACATATCTGATCACCCATAACTTACCTCAAGCAGCCTGAGAATGATACTGTTATTCATGTTATTACATATGTATACATACTGGTCACTTTGCCCGATACAACACCTTTGGATTTCTGTGAAAATGGTTCTGGAAGGATTATGGAATGCAGCACTGAGGAGTGGTGTGCTTTCAGCATAACAGCTTTACAATGGAATCTTTTGCAATGGAAACTACACTGTAGGGCTTCAAGATGCATGGCTATCAGATAGAACATGACTTTTTGTGGTGACATGAATGTAATGACATAGTGAGGCTCTAAATTCCTTATAATATGATGTACTCAACTTCTGTGTATAAACACTTCTGATTTAGAAGTCGATTATCTAGGGTAGTATCTTTTGGAAAAGAGGTGATTAGATCTGTCATACACGATGCAAATTGCAATAATAAAACCATGTATTGCTTTAATGGAAGAACAGTTAAACACAAAAAAATGTCTTGATTAAATTTATTGGTGATCAGTAATCTTTATTATGTACAAAGACAGATCTACATATTTTAAATCAGTGTGATTATATTAATTCAAAAAATGGTATATAATGCATTGACTTATAGGGTGTAATGCAAAAATGTTGGAAGTTACAAATTACAGGTTAATCTGTATATTCTAAGAATGATTGCTAAATAACTTGTCAGTGTAGTCAATTTCTGTACAAGGGAATCCTCAAACACATTACCATTTGGGCAATTGAATTTATAATACGTGTGTTAATAGTGGTAACTTAGAGAATATAGAGCTGGAGTTATACTGGATGATGTCTTTTCTATAAATGTGAATTTTTTTTCAAAGAAAAGGGATCTTTTTGATAGTAAACAAGAAATCTGGATTTTTGTGATAAGAGGGGTCAATTTTGAGCCAAAATTCAATGAGAAAAGATGTGTTTTCCTATTGGAGAACTCAGAAGAGTACCCATTAACTTTGGAAGTACCAGTTCAAGGAAATTGCATCTTTGATTCTCTTGTTTTATTAAAAACTTGGTCTCTATTACAAGTCTGCCTCTACTAATTCATGAATATGAATATTCAATACATATTGAACTTCCATGTTCAAGTCTTCTGTTTTACTAGACTATTGCTTCATATAATGAACATTTTTCTGTTTGATTAGAATTTTGCTTTAGTTATGCATCTGTGATTCTTATATTGTATTAGAATATATCTTATTGTTTACTAGTCCTTTACTTCATACCAGTTTAATGCTTACAATGTATGCAGGACTAAAAAGCGACAATTATTTGTTGATGTAAGAATTGACTGTCGGGTAGTTTAATCAGTACATATTTAAATACATTCTATCGTGGATTATATAGATAGGCTCTTTTGTTTTTCGTATTGATTTTTTGCTGTTGTTGTTTGTATCCAATAATTGTAACTCGCCTTGTTAATAAAAATGCATCAAACACAGTAAAGAAAAAGTGTTCTGTAATACAATATCTAATATTCACTTTATTCATAAATTTTTACAAGCTATGTCTAAGCTAAGCTACATTGTTTTTAATATATTTGCAACATGAGTCATTTTTATAATTGAAGGATCTCATTTATTTTCTTACCAGACCTATTCCCATGGTTGAACTCCGAAGAGCATCTATTCATCTGTTGCTGTCCATGTTGGCACTTCCCTTACATTTTGGTAATCTTTCAATTAAAGGTACAGCTGATATTTCTCATTTTTATAATTTCCCTGAAAGGGGGCTGAAGGCTGCTTGGAGGGGTCACCTGTTTTAACCAGTTGTACCACTATACAGTAATGTGTTGTCTGTAAGTCAGTCAGTAGACTCTAATATTATATCATACAAGGGATGCTTACTGTTGCAACTTGTACTGTCATGATGTCAGTAAAATGTGTGCATGCCATGAATCATGAGAAGAATTATGCATTCTGTGGGCTATAACATAGCATGATATATGAATTTCCAAATCAAGAAATAAAAATATTTGTCACACTTAATTTTGGTTTTATTTACTCTTGAAACAGAGCACTTTCAGGGACCCTATTGAAGTACATCTAGCAATATTATTTATTTATCTAT